TATATATATATATATATATATATATATATATATATATAAAGAAAGACTCAGAAAGGGTTAAAGATATAAAAAATAATATATATAATAATAATCACAGAAGAAGTTTGAGTGACATATCATTTAATTAAAATAACTATTCTTTGTTTATATGTAAATACGTTTATTGAACAGACGGCTGAGAGGTAAAGAGGAACTCAGAGGAACTGATCAGGTTGAGATGCATGCTGGGAAATGTAGGCGATTAAAGTCAATCATTTTCTTGAACTGTAGTTTATTACATATTACACACTCTGAAACAAATATCTCAACAATTGTTACTTGTCGTGTGTGTGTGTGTGTGTGTGTGTGTGTGTGTGTGTGTGTGTGTGTGTGTGTGTGTGTGTGTGTGTGTGTTAGCTCTCATTGGTATCAGTGATTTCCTGAAACAGCTGCTCACTGTAATTTAAAGCAAACAATTATTATGAGATGCTAAGTGTGTTGTTACTAATATTTAGCTTATTTGATTGAGATATTCAGTTAAAATATGTGGTATATTGTCCTACTTAATACTTTATAGTCACCGTTTCTATGATGATGCTCTGCTGAAAACATCTGTGTTCACATCAGAAGGAGAGCCAGCTAACGTTAGCTGTTAGCAGCTGTTAGCACAGTCCTGCTTGGCTAAATAACAGAGCTAATGGCTTAACAGCTAACGGCTAAAAGCTATCGGAGGCTGCTTTAAGTTACATAGTGATGTGTTCAGGCTAAAAACGAGTATTAGGAAAAGGTAGCGTCATCATGATGTGTTTGAATTTAATCCTGTAAAATGTAGCTTCTGTTGAGAAAGCGTTGTTGTTTCAGAAAAGTGAAGAATTGTATGCAAAATGCGATTTTATTTTAAAGATATTTCATTTTTTTGTGGGGATTTTTGTAGAATATGTGATTCTTTTAAAATAAAGTGTGGATTTTATTTTTGAAAGAGGGGAATTAAAAAAAATGAGGACTTTCTTTGAAGCTAGGTCTATTTTACGAATGGTGTAGTTTCTACTTCAGAGTGTTCCAGAGTTTTATATTGAGGTTAGTGTTACAGGAGAGGGGTTAACATGTGGAGTCTGCTGTGTGTTTTATAAACTCCGGACGGAGCAGACAGACGGTCAGACTCTGTCAATGATTCCTGACAGACCCTGACCTCTGACCTCTGCTGCTGCAAATCAACAACGCTATCTGTGGTTCTGCAGATACCGCTGCTGTTTAAAGAGTTACACCGACATGGTGTTTTAAAACGGGAGGACGCTTTTTGAGAGGAAAGGAATTTGAGAAAGTACCGGACGATGATTGTCAATTAATTACGTAGTCGTTTTTATTTAAGTAAATAGAGTAAAAGAAATGGTAACAGGATGAACTTGCTGTGTAATATAGCTCATGCTTTATGTTTTCACCATCTAAAGTGCTATCACGTCTCCGGGCTTTTTTAAATATTATATATCTTTTCACCAGCTTCTCATACTACAAACCAAAAAAAGTATTAACCAAAGAAATGACAAAAAAAGATCCCAAAACTGTATTTTTCATTGAGTTGGAAAGTAATTCACTTTAATATATATATATCTATTTAAAGGAGATGTACCCTCTTTCCACAGCACGTAGAGATTGGGCTGATTGTATTATTAATCAAAATGTGTATTCTCTTTAAATATTTGCTTACTCATGGATGTTCACCTAAGGTCAACATGTCATAATGTCCTGTTTTTCCACAGCTGTGCCGCAATACAAATATAAATCAGGTTTTATTGAGAGTTTTGCTGAAATAACTTCCATGATCCTCCTGTTGTTTCGCAGTGAGCACCCCTAATTTCCCTGATTTACTATCGCTGTCAATCACACCCAATGGAAGCCAATCAGATAGCCGGGGACGGGCTGGCCGGGACGCAGAAGGAGGCGTCGCTGCGGGCGCTAATGCTACGTACCGGATACCAGCTGCTGCAGGTACACATAAAAAACATCGTAAACATCCCGACAACACGGAGAGATCTAGACCTCTCTGATTTATTATAACCCCCGTGATTCATTACATTAATGCACACAACGCACACTATCTGCTTTTTTTTATTACTGCCGAATTTTATTCAATATTTTATTGCTTTCTATTTCTATGTAAATACTGCTATATATTTACTAATTTTTTATGTTATTATAGTTTCCTTAAAATAGTTCTCTTTCTGTGTTTTTAATATTTGTTTTACTTGTATGTATGCACCACGACATCAAGTCAAATTCCTCGTACGTGCCAACCTACCTGGTGATAAACCTGGTTCTGATTTATTTCCTCTTCTTCAACATGCATAAAGGTTTTACGTGAGTTTAACAATTAAGAAATATACTGTAAGCGGGCTGCACATTTTATACCAGTGGCAAAGTGAATAGAATAGAAGCATCTATTGTCATTATACAAGTACAACTAGAAGAAGACTGTTCTCAGACCAGCAGGTCGTGAATACAGATAAAAAACATCTTATTAATAATAATAATAATAATACGTGACACTTATATAGCGCTTTTCTAGAAACCCGACGACGATTTGAAACGCTGCAAATTTCCCCTCTGTGGGACGAATAAAGGTATTCTGATTCTGAAAGAATGACACAACAACAAAGAAAATACGTAAAGAGACAAAAAATGTTTTATTTTCTGTTCTTCATCATGCATAAAGGGCATTTTAACAATGAATAGACATACTGTCAGCGGGCTGCAAATGTTGATTTATAACAATGGTGGCTAAAAGTACTCAAAAGTGTCGAAAGGTTGAACGGACCATCCACAACTGAGCAGAAGCTTTTTGTTTGTCAGGATTACAGAAACACGACAGGCCCTTTTTACATTAGACTTGGTAGAAAGATGTTTATGGACCAACAAAGAACCCGTGAAAACGTTGGAGCAAATCCAATTAATGGGAACAATTAGGTTCTACTGATGGAAACAGAACTGTTCTCTTCTAGCTCCTTGTTTAACACAACATGAATACACCTACACATGGAGAGGTTCAGTTATTAGTCTCCAAACATCTGGAACAAACTCCCAGAAACCTGCAGGTCCGCTGCAACGAAGACTACTTCATCATCCAGGCTGGAGGCCAGGGGCTAAATGTACTCAAACCAAAGCGTTGTTGAACTAACGTTTTATTTCTGTGTTTTTTGCTTCAGGAGAACGGGCAGCGGCGGTACGGCGGCCCCCCGCCCAGCTGGGACGGCCCCCCGCCGGAGAGAGGGAGCGAGATCTTCGTGGGGAAACTCCCGCGAGATCTGTTTGAAGACGAGCTGGTCCCACTGTGTGAGAAGGTGAAGATAGCTTTATATTACACCTTTATCTACTTAATCCAGTGTTGGTCCCTGAAGGCAGCATCTCCCTGGTCCAATGGGATCTCTCCATGCGATTTGGGATTATGTCAGAAAAGAATCTCTGTGTCAAACAAGCGTTTATGATAATAACACGTTTAGTTCAGAAGGATAATCTCCACATATTAACACCACTTTATGATTTCTGAAGTAAAAAGCTAACGTTGGGCTTTAAAGGAACTACAGCACGGTCACATGACTTCACGTCCCCACCGCTAAGCTAAATGAGGCTAATGTTGGGCTATAAAGGAACTACAGCACGGTCACATGACTTCACGTCACCACCGCTAAGCTAAAGGCGGCTGATGTTGGGCTATAAAGGAGCTACAGCACGGTCACATGACTTCACGTCCCCACCGCTAAGCTAAAGGAGGCTAATGTTGGGCTATAAAGGAACTACAGCACGGTCACATGACTTCACGTCACCACCGCTAAGCTAAAGGAGGCTAATGTTGGGCTATAAAGGAACTACAGCACGGTCACATGACTTCACGTCCCCACCGCTAAGCTAAAGGAGGCTAATGTTGGGCTATAAAGGAACTACAGCACGGCCACATGACTTCACGTCACCACCGCTAAGCTAAAGGAGGCTAATGTTGGGCGTGATGAGGTTTAGTCGTCTCATTTAGACACTTGTTAGCCACCAGTGGGGTATTTACTGATGTATTTTAAGTCATAGAAAAAAACATTAACACAAGTCTGATCTAATCTTCTCTTCCAGTTCGGTAAGATCTACGAGGTGAGGATGATGATGGACTTTAACGGGAACAACCGAGGCTACGCCTTCGTCACCTTCTCCAACAAACTAGAGGCCAAAGCGGCGATGAAGCAGCTCAACAACTACGAGATCAGGTGAGCGTTTGTTCCTGTTTTTTTCTATCGACGATCTTCCCCGGTCGTTTTTAACCTCGTGTTTCTCTTCCCGCAGAAATGGCCGCCTCCTCGGAGTCTGTGCCAGCGTGGATAACTGCCGTCTGTTCGTGGGCGGGATTCCCAAAACGAAGAAGCGTGGGGAGATCCTGTCAGAGATGAGGAAGGTCACCGACGGGGTCTTGGACGTCATCGTGTATCCGAGCGCTGCCGACAAATCCAAGAACCGAGGATTCGCCTTCGTGGAGTACGAGAGCCACCGAGCCGCCGCCATGGCCCGACGCAAACTGCTGCCAGGTGAACAAATATATAAGACAATAATATTAATAATATGATATATAATTAGACCCTCCAGAAAAACGCGGACAAAAATCCTTGATTATGCGATTAAACATGTTTGCATGGTTTTTATGTGTTTTTATGCGGTGAAATTGCGGAAAGTTGCGAAATATGCTAAATATGCTAAAAATGCTAAATATGCGGGAAAAGAATAACAATTTTTTTAAATATTGG